TTGAACTCAGTGAGCTCAGTGATCCTCCCACCCAGCCTCCCAAATAGCACCAACATGCCTGTTATCTTAGCTGTTCACAAAAACAGTTTTTTCACTAGACTGAGTCATAGTGATAGTTAAACTTGACCTAACTATCTCAAATGACAATTGGTGAACCAGAAGATAAGGTAATTGTTAATTTGCTAGCTCTTATTATTGAAGTTCTGCTCAGGGTGGGGCTGGCCAGATATGCAGAGATGAGGGGTTAGGAAACCTCAAAGAAAGAAAGGGAGAAAAAAGAGGGAGGGAAGAAGGAAGAAACTGAATTGCAAATTTAAAGGACTTTTGTCACCACCAACTCACCAACTATAACACACTAAATGATCAACTCTAATTACAAACATAAATGAACACAGAGTTAGTGCCAAGTTTGGTTTTCCATGTTTGGTTCAGGAAAAAGCCAAGAAACAGTGAATAAATTACAGAAAGCCGAATTTGTGGAAAATCAACTCACCCGTTAGTGAGGGCAGATGTTTACACCTTGGACATAGCCTAACCACACAGCAAGGCCCAGAAAGGGGCCATGAGATTCTTCACAGAGTTCCCATTACCCAACATGGAGAGAAAGAGCATACAGATTATTTATCTATCCATGTGATAAGAGAACCAATGTATTAACTCTCCAAATGTTAAGTCATAGACAGAAAAAGTCCAACTTTGAAGGTCTCATAAAAAACCAAAAGATCACTCACTCACAGGAAAAAATATGAGTTCTCTTCTATAGTCTTATTAGACAAGAAAAAAGGTTTAAAAATTACTAATTTAAAAAAGATAGAATACATAGAGGTCAGCGTAGAAGCAGAGTATATGGAATATGAAATATGTTGTGTTTGAAAGTCATTTTTATTTTGCGGAACACTAAATACCTCGCCTCACAGAGTGAGGAAGCAAGATATATCTCCACAAATATAAGGGTCAGTTTTACTTCTAAATACTACATGTCAAAGGTATGGGAGATGGGCTGGGGGTGTGGCTCAGAGGGAGAGCCCTGGCCTAGCATCCCCAAGGACCTGGGTACATCCTCAGCACCACACACAAAAAGGTCCAAATGACATTAATGTAAGCCCCTCTCCCTTCTCATCCCTTCCCCTTCATTCCTTCCACACACACCCCCTCCAATTGCTGCATGTATCTCCAAGATTAGGCAATATCATCAGTTTTTCTAGCCCTCTTAGAAATTATTCCTTTCATCACCCTATGCAGCTATTTCCTGCTGGGCATATCATTTGGGCTTTTGACTATCCACTATGACAGTTCATGTTATGTATTAACTTGGTGAGGCTATGGTGCCCAGTTATTAGACCAAAGACCAGTCTAGATGTCCATGTAAAAGTGCTTTTTATTAGGTATTACCATGGAAGTTGGCAGATTTTGAGTAAAGCACATTAGGCTTCATAACAGGGGCAGGCCTCATCCAATCAGTTAAAGGCCATACAAGAGAGGTCTGAAGTTTCCTGAAGAAAGAATTCTCCTCAAAACTGTCTGAGTTTTCAGCCTGCTGCCCTCAGAATGTGGACGCCATTTAATACTGACTCTTCCCTGAGTTTCTAGGTTGCTGACCTGCTCTCATGAGATTGGATTTGCCAGTATTATAACACATAAGTCCATTCTCTCTCTCTCTCTCTCTCTCTCTCTCTCTCTCTCTCTCTCTCTCTCTCTCTCCTCTCCCTCCTTTCCCTTTATTTATCTATATCTCCTATCATTATATGTATGCATTGATATATAGACATAGAGATATCCCTTATTGTTATACGTATGCATTGATATATATAGAGAGATATAGATATAGATATTATATATCTCCTATTGTTTCTGTTCCTCTGGAAACCCCTGAATAATACATGACACAGTTGTCCCTTTCTTTATGCATCATTCTTCTGACCATGCTTTGCCCCTTCGTTTTAATCAATGCTTACTCTGCAGATGTCCTCTGAGACTACATAGGAAAGACCAGGTACGTTCATCACTATCTCAGGGAACTAGTATTTAATCCACTGATGGCCCAGTCTATAGCTGTAGGACAACCAACATGTTGGCAAAGGGCTCTGGGAAGGCTGAATCTAGGGAACATGAACAGAGTACTGACAATTTCAAGGGCAGAGGCTATCTCCTAGCCTACTAATACATTTTGTTAATAAGAGTGAGCAGGTGGAATGAGAACAAAAGACATGTTTCTCATGATTTCTCAGGTGCTCAAAGCTGTCTGGGAGCTGAGGGGGCGAGACAGGCGAAGAGAGGAAAGCAGTACATTTGTAACTGGTGTGCCATGTCACACATACTGGGAACCTACGTCTATTTATGAAGTCCCCCTCCCCTCTTTCTTTTGTTCGATGGTCTTGATTTTAGATATTCTGTCCTGTGATCCGATGCTGTGTCAGGTATGGCCAGGTTTTTGTTTGGGAAAGCAAAGCGTGGCTCTCTCATTCTGTACTTGCCTTCCTGTCGCCGTGAATTCCTGCATCTTACTCTTCCCAGTTCACTTGACTGGCTGCTTACCTCCTCTTCACCTTTGCAAATTATGATCTTCCTTTCATCCATCTCTACTTGTACCTCTCAGCCACACTGTAACTTCCAGGTGCCCTTCTGATTCAGAGGCCTCTTCCTTCATTATAGTTGTTTTTTTTTTTAAGTTCATTTTGCAATTATTTTGGTAAATAGACAAATATAGTACACAGAGGAATATAATTATTCTTTCCTTCTGACTGTAAAAGAAAGTAAAACATTCTCATGGGCCTTTAAAGTATTGAAAGCCCTGAACACCCTCCCTCCTGATAGATGATACACTGTCCTGGTATCTGCTCCATATAGGTGCCCTAAACAGGAATCTCTTCTCTTATCAGTTACTCCCTTATATAATTTTACCCCACACAGTTACCATGGTCAAATGAAATAATGCACAGAGGGTGCTTAGCAGCTGATCTATGGCAAATGCCCATAATTTGAGCTATTTAAAGTTAAAATGACATCAGTTATATACCATCTTGACTATTATAGACCCTTTCACCTATGTCTATTTCCTTAATCAAACTGAAAACATCTAGGCTAGGAGTCTGATCTAGAGCAGTAGTTCTCAAACTGAAGTGTGTACCTGAATCACTGGGAGGCGCGGCTGAAGCAGAGTTGCCTGTGCCCAGCCCCTTCCTGAAGTAGGTCTGGGATGGAGCAGATCATTGCACCTCTTACAAGCACTCTGGTAGCATTGATGTCACTGGTCCTAGAGGACTGCTGTTTTAAATGACTGGTCTCTTCCCAAAATCGGCACAGAGAGAAACTTTCTGATACAGAGTATTATGCAAAAATTAATAGCAATGCTGAGGGGAACATCCGCCCCAGCCTCGCACTGTGAGAAAGTTTCAGTACGATAGGAGCTGAGCAGAAAGAGATGAGCAAAGGAATCTTTTCTTTTACACTGAAAGAAAATGTGCCACTGGCACAATTGGACAGGGACTGTCATCTGTTGGATTGCAGGGCTATGTGCGAAATGCAGACAAGAAGCCAAACAATAGCTCAGCCAACTCGTGGCTGCCTGAGTTCTCAGCTCAACCCACAGCAATGCCAGCAGGGCTGCTGGGATCCATCTGCTCCTCTTTCTGATAACGGATCTGGGGTCTCTCTGGAAGGAAGTAGCTTGACAAGAAAAGAAAGATCAGGCCAACCGAAAATGTCAGTTCACGAAGCTGCCACTTGAATATGGTACAGCTTTTAACTCCATACAGCCGTTTAGTAACCCCACATCCTCCTGCGATGCTTTTTTTGTTTTCTGTTTTCTTTCATCAAGAAATGTAATTTGCAAATGCCGGAGCTTCCTTGAATACACTCTGTTTCCACACAAATTAAGTTCACAGAATTTAATACTATGGGAAGCCTTGAGATCATCCAGTCCAACCCACCAATTTCACAGACGAGGAAATGTAAACCTGGGTTTAATCCTAAAATACATAACTGGTAACAGTAGATCTAGGATGAGATCCAGATTCCTTGACTCACGTGGTGCATGTAGTCCTTTATATTCCCAAACTGAGCAGGAAAATGATATCTTTCCTCCACTGCATTTTAAAGAGAAAACAGGGTTTCCCCCATTGCTTCATTTACTTTTCACTATTTTCCCTTTTTGTCAATGGGAGCAGGGGGTGGAGGAGTGGTAATAAGGGCCAATGAAGAGAAATAAAAAGTTGAAAAACAGTTTCAACAGAACCCAAAATACTGAAGGTGGTAAGAACATGCGTTGCCTGCTGTACGCTCCTTGGCTACCTGGAAATGTGGCACAAGGCCAATTCTCAGAAGTCATGTGAATGAATGGATGGAGGGCTGCATCCATTTGCCAGTTTCTCAGCCAATTAGGGGGCTAATGTTATACACAAAGATTTTGAGCCTGCTCTGGAGTCTCCTTATCTCTACCAGAAAGTTCAGTGTTTACATCAAACCAGAAAATGCCTTTTCTATAAGATAGGCAGTGTGTCAGCTAGAAACGTATGGGCTTTGGAGGAGGAAAGCTTTGAAGCCCAGAGTGCTTACTCTGGTTACTTAAATCTAGGAGAGTGACAGAAACATTCAGGGCCTTGAATTTCTTCTTCCCCATTTCATTTTTTTTTCCTCCACTAGCATAAAGATTAAATGACGGGTGCAAACTGCCTTGCACATAGTAGGTGCTGAAGAAATGCAGTGACACTCCATTCCATTTCCTGTTTCAGCATCATATAGGTACTGAGGTACATAGGGTGGGGGACGGTATAAGACTTATCGAAGGGATTTTTTGTTTGTTTGTTTTTTGGCTGAAAATGTGCACAGATTATCATTATGGTCATGGTTCTCTAGTTGTATGGATGATATGCCTTGCAATAAATAAAAGCAATGCTCCTGTCATGCAGGGGTTCTTCACATTCCATAACCCCTCACCATTTCCCTGGTTTCTAAATAAAATGATTTTCAAGAAAAAAAAAATAGTTTAATATTTTGCTCACCCATTTGGTCTTGGTTTCCTGGTTCCAGGCTCAAGGAACTCCGTCTCCTCCTCCATTTCCCTCTCAGGGATCTTGTTTTTCTGAGAAGGCTGTGGTGAAAGCATTTCCCATTCATTGTCATGGGTGACCGTCTGCAACAGAACTGCATCTGGGACAGCCCTGCCTTGCCTTTTGTTCCTCTGTGATTGGCTGCTCTGACCAACAGAGACTTCCTCAAGTGCTAAAGACTCTAGAGGCTTTATTCCTCCCAGAACCTGCACCTGGGGTTCCTTGCCCAAGCTGAGATCAGAGCATGGCTCCACAGTCTGGCAAGACCATCCAGGCCTTGAATCCCTGGCTTCCAATGCTGGATCACCAACTTCACCATGGCCCAAGACCATCCAACTCTGGTCTTGTGTAGGGCTTTCAAGAGATGACCTCTTGTCGTCTTTGGAAGACATTTCCTCTTCATGATGATCTTTGTTTTCATGTAAGGAGGCAGGCTGACATGGGTCTGGGAAGTTTGCTAACTGAGTTCCTGGAAGCCCTGTTTCTTGGGATTCTATGGGTGATTCTTCTGATTCAGATAAGCTTCCTCTTGCTTCACAGGCCTCTGACTTCAAGGGTGAATTTTTTTCATGGCTTACAAGTATGTAATCCATGTGTAGTACATGATGATCCTCATTCTTGGCTATGCATCTTTCATCCGTGTATTCTGATTTTATCTGCTCAGATTCTTCAGTAGGAATTATGTTTTCTTCTTCTATCTCTAATGTTTCCTGGTTGGCACCTAGAAAAAGACGCAAGTGAGACGGGGAGAACAAATCTTAAATAACATGTTGTGTGATTTGGGATCTTTGCAAGTGATTATTTTAAAAAAGGCAATTTTAAAAATATTTTTATTTTGTAGAGTTGTTCAATTTTCAGGGATAGGTATTATGATATAAGCATTAGATTTTATTGCATTTTACAAGCATTGGCTAGCATGCAGAGCAAACGTAGTTAGTTTCTCTTTACCTATATTGGTAGGAAGAGTATATTTTACAATCGCACTAGTTTAATTGACGCCAGCAGTTTCTCGGGAGAGGAGGAATGGGGAGGTTTCTTACCGTTTGATGGTCCCATGTCGCCACCTGCTGGTAGATCAGAATTATCTGTTTCTACTTCCCAGTCAATATTTGATGGTGATAACTCAGTGTTGGAGCCTGCCCCTCCTACAGGTGAAGAAACTGATTCAAGGTCTTCATGAATATGCAGTACCACCAGCTGGTGTCCAGGCTGTCCATTTGGGGTCTCAGGGTGTTTTCTCTCATTTTGATCAGGAAGGGCGGAAAGCAACATCTCTGCTGCTTCACTCCCCAGAGATACATCCTCTGGAGACCCAGTTTCCTCTGTTCTTTCAGCACCATGGGTAGGTTCTGTGAGATAGGACAAATCAAAGGGAGGCGTGTAGGGTGCCAGCGATTGCTTCAGAGCGTCTTCCTCCAAGGGAGGGTCACCACCATAAAGAAAGTGTTCAGGTTCTTTCATTAAATCTTCATCGATATTCTGGCCCATTACATCATATTCAAAATCACCCCATGAGGCTTCAGATGAACAGATATCTTGCTTCCCTGTATCCCCATCAACTGGTGTCTCCGGATGACCTTCCGATAGTGTCAATTTACTCATGTCATCTATTGTTCCTGTAGAAGTGTTGAGACCAGAGGCATCACTGAAACTATGGTCAAAGGCAGCTTCACTTACATCCAAGCAGGTGTCTGAGGCCAGCAAAGCATCAGTAGCTGTGGCAGGATTCACAGGAGCAAAAGACAGTTCATAGCTAGGTGAAGCTCTTGTACCTGTCTGACTTTCAGGAGAAAAGTTCTCTGATACCCAAAAGCCACTGCCTTCTACACATGGCTCCTGGTGAGCTACAAAAACCCTAGTTCCCACATTTTCAGTCCTTGGGATTGAAACTTCCAAAATTGGTGCTGAATCTAAGCCAATTCTTTTTTCTGATGCTTTTAAACCTGTACTGTCATCATCATTCATTTCAGAAGGTTCTGGAGAACCTTTATAAGAGGGAGGCTGAGATGAGCCTACATCTACATCTGCTTGATTGCTGATGGGAGGTAGCGGAATTGCATTTTCAGAACAGAGCTCTGGGTTGTATGGGATAGATTCCTGCCCAGGCTCCTGACTAGGTTCTTCATTCACCTTTGGCTCAGCAAGATAACAATCACTGAGTTTCACATCAGGTCCCATGCAAACACTGACATGCTGCTCAGTCTCTTGCTTTGCTTCAGAATCATGACATATATCAGGGCTGTTGGAGGCCTGAGAATTGCTGTCCTGGTCACAATGAGTTAGTATATCAGGATTCTCACCATCTGGTTTTGCACTGAAGGGCTGCTTGACATCCATCCACAAGTCAGGCGAAGCTGAGGCCAGCTGCCTACCCTCTTGGAAGTTGCCATGCAAAATATCTGGAACAAAGGGACCTTGGGGGCTCTCACTAGGGCTGGAGCTATCCCATTCAGAGCCTGATTTCTTTATCAACTGCGTAGGGGAACTCACAGTAGGGATATTTTCTGCAGCAATGCTGGAATGTGTCATTTCACCAAGGTCTGGTTTTTCTTGTTCCCACCAATTTGCTTCTTGACATTCAGCAGTTGAGGTGTTGGCTATAACACATTCATTTTCATCTGTGGAAGTAAATGCTGGGTCCGGCTGATCCCAGACGGACAGCATGGAATCCTGACACGGCTCTTGGTTGGGCATTTCAGAAGGAAGGTTGTTGCCAGCAGAAGATATGAAGGTTTGCTCTGTGGAATCCTTATCTTTAATTTGGTCCAATATTACGAGCTGGCTAAACGGATCAGCATATGGGTCTGGCTGTCTTGGTTGAATGTTCCAGAATTGCTCATGGGAGTTGTCTCCATGATCATCCAGAAAGGGTGACTGAAGTTTATCGTTGAAAGGATTAGTACAGTATGTTTCTATGGATTCCATATCACCCTCCATGGGTGCTCCCCAGGGACCCACTCTTTGGTAGTCCCGAGAATTCATCTCTAACACAGCACTCGAGTTAGACAGCTCCCCTTCAAACGCACTTGCACTTTCGATGGGTCTCACTTCGGGCGGAGGGGCATTCCACCACTCATTGCCTTCAGCTGAAAAGCCATGCATTTCCGATCTAGAATGATCCTCACTCTTTGGTTCAGTTTTGGCAGACACTTGCCATACGTCGTCTCTGGTCCTCTCTGTCTCTGGAGAAGATCTCCTGTCTTCCACTGCTGTGATCTGTGCTTCAGTCTCTGTGAGTGGTGAGAAATTCCACTGATCAAGGCTGCTTTGCGAATTGTCACAGAAAGGGTTTGACTCATTTTCATTCCCTGCTGGTTCTGAGCTGCCTGCGTGGTCTGAAAACTCCTCAGGCATGGGATCCACCGTGGCCAAGGAACTGGATTCAGTTAATGAATCCCAAGCTCTGGATTCACTCTGAGCCACCTGACAAGTAACCAAATGGATCTCTTTCTCTACTGACGCGTCATCACCTATACCATCCTCATCAGAGTCAGAGCTTGCTCGAGTGGCCGTGGCGTCCTCTGGCTGCACAGATTCAGGAATGTCACATTCGTTTTTCTCCTGAAGGCTAAATGTTACATTTCTTTCCAGATAATCACCTGAATAGTCAGAATATTTTCCTGTTTCAGGACTGGATAGAGAGGATAGGGAATCACGATCCACTGAGTCATTCCAAATCTCTAAAAATTTAGGAACCTTGTGATCAAAGCTGTTTTCAAGCCCATCTGTTCCACTTTCCTCCAAGTCTTTCATTTCAGAAATGGCTTCTTCTTGGCCCTCAGTGGTGACTGGTTCCGATTCTTGGCGACCCTGCTCACTCCATCCATCTCCATCCTCTTGCTGATGATCCACACGGGGTACATGGCCCCAGGGAGACAATGCAGCCAAAGAATCATTTAGGTCAGGACTCGATGCACTCGAGTGAGTATACCCACTAGAAACACTATCTTTGTCACAATCTCCAGATGAACCGGTTCCTGGAAGGCTGTTGTCAGTACCCTTAGCTTCAAGATTCTTAGTTATCTCAGAGCTTGGGTGATTATCCTGCACATCACTGTCTGTAGGGCCATCCCAAATATCCAGGCTTTGGGGAGATGCTTGAGGTGACCCTTCTTTTACTCTTTCTGGCTCCAGAATGTTATATTCTTTAGTTTCCTCAGGAACCATTTCAGATAGAGATACATTTTTGGTTAAATTCATCCCATCTGGAATCTCAGTAGTTTCATCTGAATTTCCTTGACTTATGAGGGACTCTTCGTAGGTCTCCTTTGCTTGCAGGTTATTTGTGGACATCTCTGTTTGCGTATCATAAGAGGTTATATTGTAAGATTCAAACTCTAAAACATCTTGTGACTCCTTGGTCTGAGGACTTAAAGTGACTGAAAGAGAGCTGGTTTTGCCTGATTCGGTGCCGACTTCTTCATGTCCAGATGCAACTGGAGAAGAGAGATCATAAGGCCCTTTTTCATAAATCCCTGAAGTGCTATCCATTCCCAGATCTACTGGATCCCCTTTATCAAGGCTCCCCCTGTCCAAGGAGCCTGGAATTTCATTCTCAGTTTCACTTTTTTCGTAGCTGTGACTTATCATCCATGGATCTGAGTGGGCAAAATGTCCTGGACTCTCAAGCCCGGTCACCAGGGATTCTGTGTCACCTTTCGGGACTCCTGTCCCTGTTTCCTGGTTGTCAGGATGAGTTGTAAGTGCTGTTGACTCACTGATTCCAGAAACTTCCAGCACATCTCTGGTGGGACTATTCTTATCACTTGCTGAATGGCTGGGACTTTCAGGAGGTAAATTGCTTTGTTCTGAATCCATAATATACGACGGGTCTGTCAACTTCAATGATGACACGTCTTTATCTCTTATAAAAGAATCCCAAATACTGTTTGCAATCAGCTGCCCACTCTTCTCATTCAGAGTGTGATATTCATTGGGAGCAGTGTCCTTGGTGTGCTCAGGTTGGGGGAGTTCCCAATCTACCTGATTCGCTTCCTGATACTCTGTGCCCCATGGCTCCAGCTGTCTTACTGAAAATCGGGTTTCTGGTTCCGTACTTTCAGCCATATATCCCTCTGCTTGGCCATCACTGGTGATCGCCACACCCCCACTGCAGTCATCCCAGTCCAAGTCATTGTCCATATCCGAAATGGTTGCCGTGGACTGCGTGTCCTCCAGAATGACTCTGTTCCACAAGTCGAGGTTGTCAGAGGCTGCCTGGCGGGAGTTGGTGGTGCTGTGCAGAAGTGTGAGCTGCCTGTTGGTTTCATTGTACATCTGCATCATGCTGGGGTCATCGTAACTGGACTGGCTGCTTTCCGCCATGTCATCCTCCACCGAGGCGTCCTTATCATCTGTGTGCTCTGTCTTGAGTAAATCTTTATCTGGGTCACGAGTGGCATTTATTTCAGGACTATTATCTGCGTGAGGTGAAGCCCACATGTCCAGGTTCCCAGGACCAGAACTGATTCGATTTCTCGGTGGTTGCTGTGGCGATTGCGGAGGAACTTCAGGCTCTTCTGTGGCGCAGTCATTTGACTCCAAACCTGCCTCTTTGGCAAATGGCTTGTTTTCAGTTTCTTTTTCGTCTCCAGCAAATGTTGGTGATGTGTACGAGTCAGAGGTGGAGTAGTTGGTATCTAACGGAGAAGGCACTGAATCTTCTCCCACATTGGATGCACTGTAATCAGAGCATTTATATGATAAGAAGGAATCTTCCCAAGGAGCTAAGACATCTGACCCTCCTTTCTTAATACTCTCCTCAAAAAGTCTCCAGGATTCTACCTTTTCGTAGACATTCCCTCTACTCTTAGGATCCACTAAACCATGCTGATCTTCTCTTGGTGGCTTAGAATTATTCCATGCCTGTTCCAAGTCAGAACTGGGATTTCCAGATACAACAATATTCTCCCTGGAGTCGTTGTTTTTCTTGCCCCAGATTGTTGGAGCTGCTTCATTATTTATCTCACTGGGTGAATGGTCCTGAAGGTCTTCTGAAGGAAAAGAAAACCCACTTTTTGTCATGGCCCACTCACTGGGGTCCCTTGCAGAAGGGGTCTCACCACTTGTTGGGTGAAGATTCCAGGTATTTTTTAGAGCTTTGGTACTATCTTCATTACCAAATGCACTCCAGGCTGGAAATGACACTGCAGTTGCCGGTTCAGCATCATTTGTAGACTTTCCCCAGGGCTCAGGCATTGTGGTGGGAGAGTGGCCAGAATGCCACAAAGCAGCAAAGTCTTCTATCAGGTGGTTTGTTCCCTGGGGGGATGCATTTGGCAGATGTGACTTCTCAGTGGGCAGGCTCTGAAACTGCAGACTTCCCTCTTTTTCGTCTTGAATAGCATTGCTACCCCGTTCGGCCTGACCAAATTCAGACTCCCAAGGATCTGACTTTGGGAATTCAAGATTCTTTGGCTGAAATGCAGAATCTGAGACTCTCCTATCCCCTGGGCTGGGCTTATGATCTTTCCAGGACTCAGGGCTCTGGAAGACAGATTCTTGTTCGCTGGAACTCCACGCATCAGCAATATTTTTAGAATCCATTTCCAAAGCACCCCACCAGCTGCTGCACCGTGCACGAGTCTGAGGTGGCCCCATGTGCCCTGTGTCCATTGCTTTGTGGGTTATGTCTTCTGGATATAGTGAGACTGGCTCTTCAGTGGACGGTGAACTTTCTACAAAGCTATTCATAGGTGTTGGTGGGATCCTTTTCCCAATATTTTTCAGTCTTTCTGGTGAAGGAGAGTCATCTCCCATAAAACCTGTCATGCTCAAATTTCTTTCAGAGCTGTCTCCAAGACTCTCTTGTCTCTGTGCAAACTCCTCATCAAATTCCACAAGGCTGTCTTTTCCAGCCTCTGACAACAGTGAACTGGATGAATAATTGGACATGTTGATCCCCATCTCATCAAGTCCTTTGGGCCCAGCAGCAAGTTGACCCTCTGATGAATCACTGTTGGGGAAATCATCTGTTGGGGAGTAGTCTGCGGAATGGGAAGACGGCTGAGACTGCCCAGAAGCCATGGGTGCTGAGTCAAAGTTGAAGAGGTCAAAGCGTTCCCCATGTTCCCCAGACCGGGCATGCTCCTCTGCCACTGCCCCTTCGGGGATGGGACTATAGGAGTCAAACCCTGGGAGGAGGCTGTGGTGAGGCCCTGCACCTTCCCCCACGGGACTGTCATCACTGAGGAACACTGAGCTCTCCTTGGATGAACGGCTGCTCCGAATGGTGGCCAGCCCGCTATCTGGGCTGACGAGGTCTACGTTGACATCCACCTGAGCCTGGTTAGAATCATTGAGATCTGGAGGGTTTTCTATGAAGTTCACAGAGCTGGGCTGTGGCTCTATGTCAGAACCGTACAACTCCATAATCCCAGAAGAGCCCTGGGAGAGGGGGGCACTGCCCGCCACGGCTTCTGTTGAGGATGTCCGGCTGTTGGAGGCCATCTCTGGACACCTCCTATTGATGACTTCCTTGATGAGGAGAACCACCTGATCACAAGTCACCGATGGGTCCTCCTGCTGGTACACCAGGATCTCGTCACAGCCACATTCGAAGGGCTCCAGCTCCAGGCAAGGGTTCTGACACTCTTCCAGCTCACAGCAAATCTGAGGGAGGCACAGAGGTCTGCATGAGCACTCAGGTGGTCTTTGCAGTTTGCAATTTGTCTTCCTTACTTTTTTTTTTTTAACATGATAGTAATCTGTGTTCATCTATCTAACAAGACCTCAAATGACTGAGAATTGTATAATTTGAGACTTGGGAAACCCCACTTAATCTACCACCAACCCTTTAATTCTGTGAAACTGTTTCTCATTTAACTCAAAATCCAGCTGATTCACTGGCTCATGGCTCTCAAAAGTTCCAAGTACAGAGGTTTAGAACCATGTAAGTCCTTTCCTACAAGCAATATAAAGAATCTGCTGCTAAGAGCTTTGATTTGAAAAATACTATCGTGGAGGCTTCCAATGTCTAAATCTTGTCCCTAGGAAGCCAGTAACCAAAGATAAAAATTCAGCTTTGAAACCAAATGCAGAGTCAAACATTGAAAGAGCCACAGGCTGGTGACAGGGTGCACAAGCATGTAGGTCAGAGGAGGAGGCACAGATGCACCTGTGGCAGGGGCAGGGGGCTTCTTATCTGGAAAAGAGAAAGCACAGAGAGCAAGCTAGAGTACACATGGTGTTAAGAAAGCTGATACAGTGCTCTTTGAGGATAGAATGTGAGGATATACGAAAGAAAGGAGGCATTGCCTCCAGCCACCTGGGGATGCATGAAACAGTGTCTAACCTATTAGTGAGGGACGATGAGGGAAGGAGCATTTGATGCCCACATGGTTCCTCCAGTAACAAGTCACATAGGTTCTCACATTAGAAATCAAGTACACTGGCTTGATACATCCAATGGTGTCTTCTGATTAATTTTTTAAAATTAATTTTTATTTCCTAGACTTTGGATTAAAAGGCTTAGCCATCAACCTAGAGGATCCAACTGTTAACCTAGTCAGAATCTTAGCTACCACCAACTAACAGATGAAAGCCTCAGGTCACCAGTTACTAAAGCCCGAGCACAAAACAGAAACCAAACCTTGTTAGTTATTACCGAGGAGCAGTCTCAAAAGGAAACAGCACGCCAAGGTAAACTTGCTCTTATTTGAGATAGAAAAACTTGATTTCATGGATTCGGTCTAGAAGAAAAGTTGTCCTGGAGCTCTGCCATGGTCTGGATATGATTTGAGTGTGTCCTCCAAAAGTTCATGTACTGGAAGCTTGGTCCCCAGGGTGGCAGTGTTGAGATGGTGGGGACTTAAAAGTTGGGGGTCCTAGTAGGAGGTTATAGGTCTTGGGGGCATCACCCTCAGAGGGATTTATGAAGGTTTCATGGGACTAGATTAGTTCTCATGAGAGTGGGTTGCTATCAAGCAAGTTCAGCCATCTCAACGGACTCTTCTGCTTCCAGTGTCACCGTGTCATCTCTTCTGACTTCTCCCATCAGGGTGACACTATCTGCCTTGAGGTCCTCACCAGAGCCCAAGCAGATGCCAGAGCCATGGTCTTGAAACCCTAGAACTATGAGTGAAATCAACTTCTTATAAAGCCTCGGGAACTTTCTTATAGCAACCCAAAATGGACACAAGCTCTTTGAAAAGGTCCAAATGCACAAAATACCTCCAGCATTTCCTAAAATTCAAACGCTAGGACTCTATCTTACATTTTATGCTATCTCTTGGGGTCAATTTCTTACAAGCTACAAATCCACTCCCATCTCCCGCCATGTGTTCTAGAAGCCAGCAGGTTAGGATGCAGTGAAATGGGTTAGGGTCGAAGGAGAACTCACCTGACTGCACAGTTCTAGGTTCTGGGAATACACAGCGACCTGCCTCCTTGGCTGCTGCTCCTCTGATAGGTAGCTAGCGAACAAGATGAGGACGTCATAACCAAACTTGTCTGTGAATGCTTTCAAGTCACTGGTGATATTGCTGTGAAACAGACAATTCTGAAACAACAGGACATTTGATATTAATGTCAGTCTGTGAAGAGCTGTGCCACAAATACGTCCAATCTGATGACACATTAGGGACAATATTCATAGCTAGAGCCAAGTGAGATGAATACTTTGCTTTGAGAAAGTTTGACAAATTTTATGCTATGGCTTAAAATACACTTTTCTTAGAGGTTTTCCCAAATCGATGGAGGAAAGACTCTTTGCCATCATTAAGAAATAACATTAGATTAGTAACAAATATCTCAACATCTTTTTCTAAAATACGTATTCAAATCCTTACTTCACAAAGCATATTTATTCTTCTTATCATTTATATGAATGTGGGTTATGTTCATAATCTAGTACTAGAAAAATAGGAGGGAATTAGTATTCTCTATAACATTTTCATTTTATATTTTTCATTTTTATAATAAAAATTTTAAATATAAAATATTTTGTATTTTATTTTTTTATAATTTGAAAATTTTATTTGATGACTATTATTAGTTACAAATAGAAATTTCTGAGGATAAAATTAGTTGAGTTTACTGGGTGACTTTTACTGTAGCATAGAAGTGCAGAAGATGTTTATTTATTTGTTTGTTTTGTGTATGTAGTCCTGGGGATTGAAAACAGTGGAACTTTACCACTGAGTTACATCCCAAGCCATTTTTTTTTTAAATTTTATTTTTATTTTAAGACACACTAAGTTGCTAAGGCTGGCCTTGAACTTGAGATCCCCCTGCTCACCCCAAAAGACTTTTATAAAGAATTTTGATATCTGGTCTACTAGGTCTATGTGGCAACTATGGAAGAATGAATAATTTCAGAAAGCACCCAAAACTGTGGCCCATATAATTCACAGAAAATGTGCTGGTCTCTTTTCCAGATTTATCTTCATTGAGAACCACTTTGTCTATGTGATTCTCTTCCTGAAAGAAGTACAGTGAAGTCCACGTGCTAGCTCCTAGCATAACAACTGGCACACACTAGATGCTGAAGAACTATTTATTGCATGACAGGAGAGGCACATACACAAAATCAACCTGTGCTGCACAATTCTGTATCATAGCTTACATACATACATAGAGTCAGTCCCCTATATCTGTGGAATTGATCAACCGTGGATCACATATTTTCTGAAAAAGAAACTTACATATGTACAGACCTTTTTCTTTGTCATTATTTATTAAGCAATACACTATAAAATTATTTACATAGCATCTACATTATATTATATAATACCATATAAGTCATATACATTAAATAAGTAATCTAGAGATGATTTCAAGTATAAGGGAGGATATATGGGGGTTATATGAAAATATTATGCCATTTTATATAGTGGACTTGAAATCTTGATTATTCAGAAAGGATCCTAGAACCAATTCCCCATGGACACTGAGCAATGACTTATACATACGTACCTACATATGTGTGTGTGTATCTATATAAAAATCACTGCATATAATCAATCAACTAACAGTCCATTGTGCTAATCAATAAAAAAAATCATGATGTCCTCTCAAGAGATTAAACAATTCTATAATTTTTTTCTGATCATAATAGTAATCAGAATTATTCCTGCTGCTGATAAAACAGATTTTTAAATTAATTATTAACTAGTTTTTATTGGTGCATTGTAATCATATACAATAATGGTATTTATTGTGATATACTCATACGTATGCACATACCATAATTTGGGCAATCTCATTACCCAAGACCTCCTCTTTCCCTCTCCTCCTCCCTCCCATGCTGCTGGTAAAATACTAAGACAATACAGAAATGTATGCCATGGAGAGTGGAAGTGCATGGGCTCCTCCTCAGTTAGCCACCGTGAAGAGCTGAACAGGGCAGAACACACAGTTGCAGTCTTTGTCCACATTAATGTTTGTCAGAGGCAGCTCTTTGAAAATGAAGATTTGGTACTAGAGGATCGGACTATGTACCAGACACCCCAAATAGCCATAAAACATGTACTCTGTAATTCTGATGTTGAAGTCTGTGGGGCCTTGAGGGAGTACATGAGACCTTGGCAGGTGTGCGGGCCCTGCCAATCACAGCCTCTCCAGGAGACTTTGCTGTCTCTTCTGTGGCAGCTACTCTCCTTAGGTGTCTTACAAGGCCACTTTTCCTCTCAGGCTACAAGGAGTTGCATGTGGGAATTCACAAAGGTCTCAGGCTCTACTGCTGATGAATAAGTTTATAATGCTCCCTTACAATAGCTTTTGGAAACATGTATTCCACAAACCATACTGTCACCTTTCCTGCTTTTTATTTACTGTCCAAATTGCATCATAACAATCTTTAAGTAGATTAAACAAACAGACAAATTCACCCCTGGTAGAGGTCGATATTTAGAATGTGTCTTTTTTTCTATTGGACCTCATCTTACACATAATATGAATTTGACAGAAAAAAATGTTTCAAATCGTCATTGGTGATCATGTACAACCAGAGAAAAGAAAAGCTGTGCTACAATTATGTACAATGAATCAAAATACATTCTTCTGTCATATGTACCTAATTAGTATAAATTAATTAATTAATAATAAAAAGAACCTCCATGCTGAGCTTTTTGCAATTAGGAATTATGAAATATCTGGTCCTGAAGAAAAACAGGAGTGAACAACAACTTCCTACATCCTATCTTCAGTACCTAAAGGCTTTGGCAGGAGAAACCCTACAATTTTTCTGTCTAATTTTTTTCATTATGTATATAACCCTCCTTACATTTATAAATCCTTGAAAGAAGACACAAATTTCAAAGAGATTTTCACATATAGTAATGATTATCACTATACTCTTGGCTGCCATTCAAACAAGAGAGGGCAGGTTTTGCTCCTATCTGAGCACAAGATTCAAATGCAGAAGAATCAGCTTTATCAAAACCAATCCTTGGGGACTGTTTGTTATTCCAATATATCAGCTGCATTCAACCTGTCTGGATTCTACTGTGTTATGCCGATGACTCTAGATTTCCTATCAGACTCCAGCCCAGTAGCACTGACCAAACCTGGCATCTTTAAAAAAATGCATTGTCTGGCCACATGCAGATCTACTGAAGTCCACTCTGCCTTTTCCACCCAGCCCAGATGATTCCTTGCACACTGAAATTTGCAAAGCACTGCCTCAGGGAGGCACTTCTCAATTGATTTTTTTTCCTGCAAACCAGTCCTCTGGGTTGTACTCACTCACAAGGCTTGTACTCACACCCTCCGTCCTGATTCCTCACACTAGCATCATCATAAAAAAATCACCCTGGGGTGTGTATTTCTGGGCAGCTTGCTAGAAATTCTTATGTAGCAAGTTGTATTAGAAAATGCAAGCATCTGTATTTTCATCATGTCTCTCAAAATGATTTTACAATCACATCTAACAGTGACACACTGTCTCAATTTTCCTCTGGGTAACCCTGAATTCCACAGAATCAAATGAAATATTAATAAAAAAAATTACATGAATCATTTTGACATATTAGACAAAATACATTTTACAGTAACGCCAAAACAGAGATTGTCGTCAATGATGCCCTATCTACCCTAACATAATTGTTCAAACTGGATTCCATCCTTACTGGCCTTAGGATAAGGTGAAGAATTTCACATTTAGAATAGAATCAAACAAGGGAATGAGTGAGAATCTCAGGAACCCGAGCAGCACAGTCTGTTTGTTCTGCTTTTATGCCGGTGCTGTTTGCATAGGAGATAATTTATTATTGTCTTCTAGCTATGCAGGGAGTCCTGTGCTGCGATGGCTCTTATGTTGCTGACAAGCTAGGCTGGCCCTGAATAAACAGCACTTCATCATCAACACAACACAACTGTAGATACAGGTTGGCATTTTATTTCCCCCATCTGCCTTCTACCTGATAAATTACTGTTTTAGTTACATGTATACAAATACGATTTGTTAATCTGCTCAAACATCTCCAAAACATTTCTCCCACCTTAAGTTAAAATTATATACGTGCATATGCATTCCTAATTAATTTTCTAGGGTTTAAAAAATAAAGAGGACCCTCTCCTTTAATTTACCATCTCCAGCTCAGGCACACACCTCTTGTGCAGTGAGGTCCAGTCTATAATCACTGTATGGAATTGAGGTAGTTCTTTTACTAATCATTGCAAATGGCAAAATCCCAGATTGATTCCACCAGTTAGGAAGAACAGCAATTGCTTTCTGCCTCAGTCTTTTGTCATGAATAGTTCCTAGGATTCCATCATTATGCATTTTTAGAGGTCGTGAGCCTTTTTGCCTGAGTAATTCCTAGTTATGAAATAGGAAGGTCTAGAAATGCTGGGAGAAAAAGACTTTACTATTTCCCAGTCACAAGCTAAGGTGTCGATCTCAATAGCTTTAAAAAAGGCCCTGAGGCCCCCAGGCAGAAAAACAGAAATGATCCAGGTCTATTGGATCTGAGATAGCAATCAATAGTATCCAATAAATTCCCTGTGTACATGGTTGGAAGTGCACAGGCAATTGCAGTGGAAAATCCCACTCTTACACGATCCTATTTTACTTCTCATTCCACTGCTCTGAAAATTTTAGTCCCTATGCTGTACGCTGGTAGCTTCCCTGCATCATATGAAATAAAAGTGATTTAAATAATGTCTTGTAAACGTCTGAGTACTTGAATGTGGATAGTCCTTGGGAGAGGAAAGCCCCGTCTCTTGAATCACTCACACTTGGTCACCTTTTACTGTCTTCTCAGTCCTTCCTGTTGGGTGTTGGGCTCCATTTTTCCCCCCAAACTGCTCTTCTCAGAAGTATCGATCACTTCCAGTTTGCCAAATAGGAAAATCACTTTCCTGTTCTTGCCCTATTTGACTTTTCTGCAGAATTCCTCAGGTCCCCTCCCTCCTTCCTGAAGCACTTCATTCTCCCAACCTCATGCTCACCTTGTTTTTCTCCCAACTCACCGGCCACTCCTCAGTCACCTTTGCTGGTGGCTCTTCTTTATTAAGCCTTGAAATGTTCATTGTCTCAAACTGTGTTTCCCAGCCTGG